TCTGAGCCTGTCCTTTGCCAGACTGAGACGATGAACCAGGGAGAGATGACGTACGTTTTCGACCCTTCTTGCCATCGCGTGGCAAAGGGGTGTCATCGACAAAACGTCCATTTCGTCTTGCGACAAAATGTCCATTTTGCCGTACTAGTGGGAGCGAAAAACGCTCTACCACTGAAACGATAATCACTCGGACACAATACACAAAAAAAAAACTACAAACACAGAACACAAACTTAAAATTTAACTGTGGGTGAAAGAGAGAAACAAGAACAAAAACTTATCTGATAATCCTATACTACTACCACCGAGCGTTTAAACGGCAGCAGCGGAGCGACGCGCAGCGTGGATGATCTTCGATCAGCGTGTGCGGGCGGTCTTCGTTGGTGTGTGCTTATGTGAGGGTCGGCACTCAGCTGAACACACGATGATAGATGAGCGGTGTAAATGCGGAGGCAGATGCTGACACTCGATGACGATGATCCGTGTGCAGGTATGCGTTACCACGCACCGATGGTGCGCAAAATGGTTGGCGAATTGGCAATCGTAAAAACAATTTTCCTTCCGATGATGCCGAAAACACACTTTCTTCTCAGAAAAAAAACTCACTTTTAGTTAATTATTTAGCTGGGAACTCTAAGCGAGAAAAAACTGACAATTTAAATCAAGCGAATAGCGAGAAAACTTCCAAAATAGCGGAGCGCGAACTAAGTCGACCGTACTTCTTGCTAGGACGCAGTGGAATGAGAGGATGCTAGTGTGCATGCAAAATAAGCTTGACTATATTTTTTGAAGAATTTTCATCTAAGCGTTATGTCTGTTTGTCTGTGGTTCCGCGTTAAGCATCTCCAACTACACCGTTTAAAAAATTCATGTAAATTTCTGCGAGATATAGCGCACATAAAATTAACGCTAGATTTGGCGTAAATTTACACGATATTTCGTCTAAATTTAAGCGCAATATCGCTTAAATTAGAAATATTGTATGCAAGCTGGTAAACGATTTCATAAAAAACATGATTAGTTAAAGAACTAAAGAAAGTCCAGAACTATGGAGAAGTTTAAAGATCCTAAAGGGTAAGTTCTGAGTACGTCAGGGCAGTTCCATAAACTTCCAGATTACAGAACTTCATGATAGTTGCAATAATTACAAAAAAAAACATTTCAGGAACTTTACAGGATCTTCAAAAAAAAAAATTGTGGTAAGTTTAAAGATCTTTGCTTTCTTTGTGCGAGAGCTTCTAGAAAGTTCTGATAACTTCAGGGCAGTTCTATGAACAACCGAAATAATGTATAAATTTAAGTGAAATTCCTAAACATTCATGAACATTTTGAGGATTTAAATAGAAAATGGCAGGAACTTTACAGATGTTCTAAATAAAATGCCCAGAAAAGGTCAAGGAAGTTGGTAGTGCTAACAGAAAAAAATCGCGAAATCTTTAATGAAGTTCCGAAAATTTCAAGAAGATTTTGAAAACATTATGTTAGTTTCATTAACATAGCTCTTTTTTTTTAATTGCGAGAGCCTTCAAGAAGTTCTGACAATTGAATGTTAATTCCATGAATTTAAAGGAAGTTCCGAAAACATCAGAGTAGTTAAGAGAACTTAAAGGACGTCCAGAACCAGAACCACGGGGAAGTTTTAAGATCGGATTTCAAGAAGCAATCAAAACCTTCCAAAACTTCAATTGAGTTCAAATATTTTAAGGAAAGTAACGTGAACTTTGAGGCAGTTCAGAAAATTTCAAAGTAGTTCAATGAATTCCAGGAAAGTTCTGGTAGCATCAGATATATAAATTAGCGATAAATATCAAGGAGTCTCAAAAATTAAAGATATTCCAGAGATCATCAGAGAAGTTAAAAAAAAACTTGTGAAAAAATCCGGAAACTTCACAGAAGCTCGGATAGACTTCAGCGAAGTCCACAGAACTTGAGAAAAACTTGAATACTTTAAAGAAATTCCAAGAATCTCAGACAACTTAGGTCCAGAGTCCCAATAACTTCAGGACAGCATGTCGGGTATGTTGAAAGATAAGGGTTGGTTTTGATTAATTCATGACAGCTCTATTAATTCCAGGAAAATTTCGAGAAACTTTGAGAGTTCCTGGAATTATAGGAACGTCCATACAACTCCTGAGAAATTTTGAAAACTTCATATATTTTTTGGGAACTTTAAACAGGTCCAGACATTTTCAGGGACAATCTTCAGGGACAATAATCTTCAGGGAAAATCTTCAGGTGATGAACTTCATGCGAATTGCGCGAGCTTCCGGGTAGCTTCAAGAACATCAGAGATGGAATTTCCGAAAACTGCATCCCTGAGATCCTCAGGATTCCCTGATCATCGAGTTAGGGAGAACATCGAGTTTTGGAGGTAAATGTTATAAATGTATGGGGAACGTGGCCAAAGTAGCCTGGATTTCTATCGAGTATATCGAGTTAGAGTGAGATCGAGTTAGGGAGAGTTGACTGTATACAAAAATTACATCAGTTCTAAAAGAACACAAAAATTGGTCACGGATCAAAAGTATAAAAAATTGTATTTGATTCAATATCTTTAAAACGAAGCGTCAAAACAGAGTGGTATTTGGGGCAAAGTTTCAAGTTTTGAAGGATAGTATAGAACGATATAAAAGGGTTATTAGAAGAGCGCGGGTAAAAGGTACTTAAAAAAATCTGTAGTGTTAAGGCCCAAGCGCAATGAAAGCGGAAGCGGAAAAGCCCAATCTGAGTAAGCCTACTAGTCCGATTGAAAACTAGTTAGAACCAAATCAACATTGGTTAGGCTTCTTGATGTCATTTTTGACAACTGCCAAACTTTCCGTTTCCGTTCCGCTTCCGTTCACATTGCGTTTGGGCCTTTGGAATCAATTGGGATCTTTTACATTTGATTTTTTTCGAGAAATCAGACATAGAAAAAAAAACTACAAGGGACAGCCCTATAGGGTTGCACGTAATGGTGACGTAGGACTACGTGGTCTTATATAATAAATCTTATTTGTTAATTGCAGCAGAAGCTTGTGTTTTGTGTAGGAATAGGAATTTGAGTGAGGTTCTCTCTGTTTATACTCTTTAGTATGACGCGCTCGACATAGATGGCCCACAGCGACTCACGAACAGCTACTGATTTCTATCAATAGACGAGTGCACGGATGGAATGAGTTCACTCTCTCTACAAAAAGTGACACAGCAGCGGGGCCCTGTTTACTAAAAATGAACACATGAATAATACTCACGTAACATTTGAAACGTGCCTATCAACTTTAGTTCACAAAACTTGTAGAGCCTTTTTCGCGCGAACCGAATACACCCACGCAAACCAACAACACCATCGGGTAGGGAAAATTCTCCCCTTTCCTATAGTGCTCTTGGTTTGCGTGGGCGTACTTCGGTTCTCGTGAAAAGGACCTAGAAAATTGTTTACAAAAGTTGATGGGCCCTTTTCAAATGTTACGCGAGCATTATTCATGTGTTCATTTATAGTTAACAGAGCCCCGCTTTTGTGTCAATTTTGCTTCAGTAGATGAACAAAAGTTCACCCGTCTCTCACTCGTCTATAGCGGTGTGGCTTCTTCCTCCTTCTATGGATGCTCATGCTGCTTGCAGGCAGTCTTTCGTTGAGTACTGGAGAACACCACCACTCACCACGCAGTGATTGAATAAACACCGTTTGGTGAGACCGGATGGAATTCACCTTTGAAATCTGTATTAGGGAAATCGCTTTTAGCAGGCAATCGGTTATTATTTTAATTATCATAGCAATTATCAATTATCATTCAATAGTGACATTTGGAAAAAGAATAAAGTCTTAAATTTAGCAGATGCGTAGCAATATTTTTGATCGATTGGTGATAAAATAATTGAAATTGGTCCAGGGGCAGCTGAATTATTAACGTTCAAAATCTATCATAATTTTGTTCCATGCTCCATTTTTGGTTTTCACAAAGTATACCCCCATAAAGAAATCACAGACGTAGTCCTATGTTGAAAAATTGATATCTCTTAGCTTAGCTTAACTTTAAAATCCCAGACGTAAATAAATATTGAGAATCCAAAAACTTGCCCACCTCGATTTTGAAACCTTACGCATGATTTAATCAATTATGCGTCGTTATCATAATTTTCCAAGAGCACAGCAAACCCTCACTATGTCGCCGTATACAAGCCTGTATGAAGTTTGAGCAAATTTAAATAAAACGCCTCCTTTTAGTACCCTTCTTGAAACTGCTTTTCATCATAAATCATCATAAAACAAATTGGCTGAAATTTTGACCATATCCGTTCTCAAAACTATCTGACTAGAATAAATTCAAGTGTCCGGACTGGGCAGGCCCGTCGGAGTGGAAAACAACCATGCTTCTAACGCTAAATTTCACGAGTTCAAATGTAATCCCCATTTGAAAACTCAAATTAAGTCGCTATATAAAAAAGAAATCTTCCGGACTTCAAAACATTGTTAAACATCTTGGAAATGGATGACGTTCCAAGGAGAGTCCCAAGTCATTCTGAGCAGAATTCCGAAAAAAAAACTTCGAGAAGAATTCAAAGAGTACAAAATTTTGAGGATAATCAACATGTTCAAATAATCAAACAATTCAAAACTGACTTCCTCTAACACATATCCCATCTGTCCTTTCTGGCAACGCTTGTCACGGTCTTGTTTTAAACTCAAATGAAGGATTATTGCGGATTTTGCATTGGAATGACAACAACCTCCATAGGTGGGGAATGAAGTAAACAGACAACAAAAACTTGTCTCACCCGCTTGCAATGTTTTACATGAAAATAAAGAACAACCTTGCGACCAGCAGGATAAATCGGACATTAACTACTAGTCATACGAGCGGACCATTACTAGAGACGGGGCCATCAACGCCTCATACACAATCAATTAATCAGCATTCACAACGACACAAGGGAATTTGCACCAATTCCGATTTCGCTTACATAACAAAACACTGGCTGAGAGGCAAGTGTGGGATCAACTCTTTTGAAGCAATTACCTCTTGCTGCTGGATTCTTCCGAAATATAACAATACAATAGTGCTCCAGAGACGACAGTCAGTTTTTGCAATAAGCGTTGAATTGCTCGGGAATACTATTTAGATGTATGTACCACTCGAAGTTGTTAACACACGGAGGCACACACCTCGTCGCCAATTTTTACACAGACGCAGGCGAAACTGTGTTGACCGGGAAAAATGACAGACGTGCAAAGAAGACAACAACATTGTTTGTCGCTTTTTGTCAAACTCATTTGACGTTTTGCCTGATGGATGCATGGATCGTTTTTCTCCTAGGGTGGCTCTTCGTCAACAATTGATTGAGGAATTCTCTTCAAATTATCAATTATTTACTTATGGGAGAACTGCCATTAAGCACCCCTGGGATAAAATGCCCACTCATAGGAAAACAGCGATAACTTTTCCTCAGATGCATTTTCCGGGTAACGGATTGTGTTTGTTTTCAACTGGAGGTTTCACAAATAATTCTTGATCATAAAGTCATATGTTGACCTATTGATTTCTTTAAAAAATAGCATTTCGTGCAAAACATGACACAGTTGTTAAAATCATCGACTGCAAATTAAGCTTATAACAGCATATCACAAAACATTTAACGAATTCACTTTTCGTACATTTTTTAGATGTTTCACCATAGAGGTAACTCTAAGACCACTGGGTCCCGAAGAAAATCATTATTAATTTTGGCTCACTCAGTACCAGAACAACGGTCCCAAGCAGTCCCAAGCTATTTCACTCACCCCTGCATGTTCTGCATGAATCCACACACCCCTGATGTTATCTGTCAAACTTTCATAGCGAATCAAATCAAAACAAACATAGTGTAGTAATAGAATTTCAACTAGAATAGGGTACGTTAATCGTTTGCTTGGGACCAATAGGCTACTAAAGTGGTGAGCTAATTTAAAATCGTTAGTTTCGTATTGATTGTTGGTTTCACTTCCTGAATAACAGTTCAACATTCTATTGAGACCTTATTTCTGATGTAACAAAAAGGAATTATCATTTGAAAAACGTTATCCCTTTGCATTATCTACTTGCAGGGGTTATGGTTTGTCTATTGGCGTTGACGGCACCGTCGAAAAATTTGCTCTTCCAGCAAATTTAGATAGTTTCTTATGGGAATTTTCGGTGGAGTGAAAGGATAGTACAAAGTCCGCCATGTTTCACGCACAGTCAGACGTTTGCTTATGGATTTTCTCATAGGAGTAAAGAGCTACAGAGTCGCCGTCAACGCCAATCATGCGTTGCATTTTACCCCAATTTTGTGGTGGGTTTCGGCCATTGTAGTCGTGCGTCTTGCCCCAATGTTGTGGTGCATATTGCATTATGAATCAGGCGTTATGCCCCGCTATAATTTTGAACCAATTAACCACTACATTCGAGCAGTTAAAATGACGTTTACTACCACTCGAACTTTGAAATAAAACATTATGTTGAGCTTTCTCCTTGTAGAACCCCGAGAAAAGTAGCCATCATTTGTGCGTTTCATAAAATAATAGAAATTAGTTGGCCCATTTTTGTGGAATCGCTGGTAGAAAGTCACGCCAAAACTGCTTGACAAAGTGGTCAATTAACCACTTCATTCGAGCAGTTAAAATGACGTTTACTACCACTCGAACTTTGAAATAAAACATAAATTTGAGATTTTTTCTTCTAGAACCCCGAGAAAAGTAGCCAGCATTTGTGCGTTTCATAAAATAATAGAAATTAGTTGGGCCATTTTTGTGAAATCGCTGGTAGAAAGTCACGCCAAAACTGCTTGACAAAGTGGTCAATTGACGATTTTGCTTAAACGGTGCGCCAAAAATATGAATCGAGTTCCAGCAAAATTAGTGCTGAACTGCTTCCAGCAAAAACATTTCTTGCTGAACAACCAGCAATCCATAAAAAAAATGCAGGATTTTACAGTAATCTGTTTGAAACGTCAAAGTCGACCTTTATTTTTCGAGTCAAGAAGAGTACGACTTTTGAATCGTCCCATTAATAACATGAAAGGTATTTTAATCATGGAGTAAGTTTTTTATTGTTTTTTAACTCTTTATTTGTTCCAAATTCAAAATAAATTACATTTCATTTTAACCTAGGTGCTCCAGTTACTACAGTTACTTGCCAGCCTTATATGTTATGAAATATATCTAAGTGTTTTTACATTGTTTCTGCTTTGGCGATTCAGCATTTTAAACAGGTTTTTTAAACCTGCATGTCAGTATAACAATTGAAATCTTAAAACTAAAAACTAAAACTAGATCTTATCTAAGTATAAAGGGAATTAATCGTTGCAATTGTGGATTGCAACGATTTTTGCCTGAAATTATTAATTATTGTGTAGGACATTTGTGCTAAAGTCTCAACATTCGAAATTCTATGTACCTCGGTAGTACCAACAATCAATACGAAACTAACGATTTTAAATTGGCTCACCACTTTAGTAGCCTATTGGTCCCAAGCAAACGATTAACGTACCCTATTCTAGTTGAAATTCTATTACTACACTATGTTTGTTTTGATTCGCTATGAAAGTTTGACAGATAACATCAGGGGTGTGTGGATTCATGCAGAACATGCAGGGGTGAGTGAAATAGCTTGGGACTGCTTGGGACCGTTGTTCTGGTACTGAGTGAGCCAAAAATAATAATGGTTTTCTTCGGGACCCAGTGGTCTTAGAGTTACCTCTATGGTAGTACCATAGAGGTAACTCTAAGACTAGAAGGTCCCGAAGAAACGTGCTCAACTTTTTGGCTCAGCTCTGGTACTCTCTTCGGTCCCAAGCTAATCGATTCATCCCTCGAAACATAGAAAAATCCACTAACCCCTCATTTTATCTGTCAAACTTTCATAGCATGAGCATGATTGACCGCCCACGGTTGCTACTCTGTTATTGCCAGACCAGCTGTAATTACACAGAGAACCAATAGATGATGCTTGGGACTAGCAATCATCCTAAATGTGTGAATACTGCCCTAATAAAAATTGTATGGTTAATTTGCTTAACGACGTGTTCTGGGTATCATCCAAACCATTTATGTAATAGTTCAATGATTTGGGTTATCGTTCGTTTATGGTTATTTTTTATTATGGTGGTGATCTAAAACTATGCAATACCAGCGACGGCCGCGCCCGAACACAGGTCAAGAAAGGAAGGGATAGGAATGTGTTGACGTGACACTCGCTTTGATGGAAGCCGAGAACACCTCTGCACTTCCACGAGGAATCACTGGTGTATTGGATAATTGGGTTGTGTTTGCAGCAGGGTTCGTTTTGGTAAACGATTAGCTGGATTGATGTCCAAACAATCATATATAACGCGAAGGAGCTTGGGTTGAACCCACGGTCTTCTGCTCAGTAAGCAAAAACGTTTGCCACTAGGCAGACGAGCTCCTTTTTAATCATCGAGTTGCTGTTAGTACCATGTAGTCATGTTAACAAATAAAACGATGGACGAATCTTGAATGTGGATGGGCTTGAGATTAGGCTCATGATGTTCTGCTCAGTAAGCAAAACCGGTTGCTCTAAGGCCACCGAGCCCCTCATATCACATTATAGCGTTTTATAACTATTCAAACCCGGCACCGACGACAACGAAAAGTTTTAAGCAAGCCACTGCAACCGACGGTCTTTGAAATCCTAAAACTAAAAGCTACGAAAGAGTACTTAGGCCTTCATTAAGATCCACTTTCACACGACGTTCAATGTTTCGATTTTCTCTTTACGCATGGTTCAGGCAATCATAACAAGCTATGACCGACGTGACGATTGTTTAAGACCTGGTTAAACAAGCTATTCAAATGAAATTACGTTCTCGAATTTCACTTGGCATGTAATGAACAACAGAAATACGCGATAATTCATATTATCAGCGGTTGATGGTTGATTTTAAATATACTAACGGTACTGCCTACGACTATGACGGCGATTACGACAACGACAACAGCGAATTTGTAACTTACCATTTGTCTAGGATAAACACCTTTGCCCGGCACCTCCAATGGTTCTTCATGTCCGCTATATGTCACTGTTTGCAAAATAGCTAATAGCAATTACCTTTGTTGTAATACTTCCTGTATTGCCATGGCCATCTGGGAGGAGGGTCGCATCTAGTGCTTTCCCCAGGAACCATTCACGGCCACCAGCTACCGCCCGTCCAGACTTGGACATATCCAGCGAGACATCCTTCAGCTTACTCACTCTCCGACACTCAATGCAAATCGCAGGCACACTTCCCAACAAACAATTGAGAGCTCTTATAAAACACCTGAGTTGATCAAACGTTGATCAAACGTCCAGATCAAGAAGGTAGTTGTATTGCCATTTGATTAAAAGTTTTAAAAGCTGTTGGAGCACTCTTAAATGATTGTTTACGTTCGGTTTAACTATATGCTTTATAAGGCCTACGATAACTTTTATAGCACGTTAGTTAAACTGTTTGACAGGAGCCATATAGGATGTGGAATCAACGCATCAAAACAAACCATTGGGAGCTCTTATAAAACACCTGAGTTGATCAAACGTTGAATAATAGCTTCCAGAGTTGTACAAGAATGTAGTTGTATTGCCATTTGGTTAAAAGCTTCAAAAGCTGCTTGGAGCACTCTTAAATGATTGTTTACGTTCGACCAACCACCAACCACAATTTTGTTGCTAAAAATAGTACAAGTGATAGGCACGTTTATATGACCATAAGGCAATGATTATTCGACTGCAAGAGAAGTCACTCAAGATGAGCTTCATATACTTCTCTCATATGATCAAAATATGTATTCAAGAATAGAGCAGATGGAAACAGAAGCGGCTGGCAATCCGGGACCATGAGTTCGAATCTTGCTTCGAGAAACCCTCGGTTGGAGTAGAGGTAAATTATATATAGGTGTTATTAATAAATGCAAACATTAATTTAAGACATATATCATATAATCAACGATAACATTTCTAGATAAATTCTCTCAATTAATGATTAGAGAGATTAATTGAAAGAATATCAATCAAAGATTAAACAGATGCTTGTTACTACTTCTCGATGATCACAGAATGTGAATTATGGCATAATTACATATTTTTTCAATGTGCACAAATAAGTTAAATTAATAAAACTGTACAAGCAATTATTTTGGCGTAC